AGATCTGAAATTTTTGTATTTTCAAAGATTTTCATTTTTTCTAAAAGCGAGCATTTACCGAAAAAACGGCCATGCAAAGAACACCATGCAAAAAAATCATGGAAAAACTGATAATCATGTACTTGGATTTCCATGCGGCTCTATAGTGCAACACCTGCATCCCAAACGACGCCCTTTCTGCTGCATGCCGGAAAAGGCCAGAGCACGGCTAACATGCACTCAGTTGTTAGGTAGGGCGTCTCCACTTAGGGGTGGCTCCTTTCCTTTCTATATAAACCTCCTTTTCCCCTATTCTAGGTTCGGTTCTCGTCTTTCACTTCCGGGTTTGCCTACGAATCAGTGGTCTTCTCAAGTCTCGTTGAACGGACCCAATCGTCTTAAAGCCCAAGCCTTCGACTCCGACCAGTGGACTGCTTCCCACTCAACAGAGTGTCTACAAATTCCTTCGGTTGCCTACCAGGCATTTTCAATTGTATTGATGTTCAACTTTCTTATTTTCTTTGCTAAATTAAGATAAACTTGGTATTATGAATACCACGCTTCGCACTTTCTTCTTGCCTAATCACAACGACAGCGCAGTACCTCGCACCACATTCATCAAAAACATTTATTCCAGGGAAAGATCCAGAGCCGAAAAGGACACAGCCGCACTCTAGAAAAGAACAGATTTCAAAGATCAGATAAAGGACAAGACTTCCCCGGCTTTTTACTAAAAAATTTTTTCTCAGTTTTTATTCGCATTATTTAAAGTTATCAACCCAGACTGGAACGCACCTGTTTTACTGGTGCTGTCATGCATTTCTGCGTAAATTGGCTGATCGCTAGTAGCAGGAATGATCCCTGCGCTGTAGTTTAATATTACGGCTCATACTGGCCGTGCCTTGGCCTTTCCCGGAATGCAGCAGGAAGGGCTTTGGTTGGGATGAAGGTGGTGCACTGTGGGACCGCATGGACCTCCAGGCATATGATTGACAGTTTTTTGCATGAAGCCCGATCGCATTTCAGTAAATGCTCATTTTTCGAAACCCAGGCTGGAACGCACCGGGCGGGCCCGTGCGATCATACGTTTTTCCACCGCACTGGAATTACTCAGGTCATAAACTGTACGAATGGCTGTTGCTTTACACATACCTGTTGCGGTCACTAGCATAAATCACCATAAATTTTGCAAAGTAAATGCACAATTTCTATTTAACAGTTATTCTTTAAAAGTAACCTAGTTGTTTAGTGGGAAATTTTTCCGCCAAGACTTTTAAGTGCCCGTACGTAAGAACCACGCATACCTCAAGGATGAATTTGAAATACTTATGTTGTTCTTGGACAGGGAACACTCCCTCAAAATTTCAGCTTTCCAGCTTTTCTGGTTACCGAGTTAGCAGTTTTCCTGCTAAAACCATCATGCACCCGTACTTGGGTACTTCACGTCCCCGGAAAGCTGAATTTGAAATTTTTAAATTGCAGGTGGGCAGGGGACATCGGTCTAAAATTTCAGCCTTCTGGTTCTTCTGACTGCCGAGTTAGCAACTTCTCCTCTAAAACTTTCGTACGCCCTTACGTGAGCACTACGCATAACTTGGGGCTGAATTAAAAATATTTGAGTTGCACTTGGATAGGGAACATTTTCCCAAAATTTTAGCTTTCTAGCCTTCATGGTATCCAAGTTAGCAATTTCTCCCTTAAAACTTTCAAACACCCCTACGTGACAACCACGCACACCTGGGGGCTGAACTCGAAATCTTTAGCTAGTATATGCACAGGGAATATCAAAACAAAGTTTCAGCCCCTTAGCTCATATGGTTCCCGAGATTGCGTTCCCGCCAAAAATTTTACATATTTTTTTAAGGCTCCCGTACCTGGCACACAGGCCTCCAACGGGGATGAAATTAAAAAGGGGGGGGGGGTTGCGCATGGTATGGGCACATACTTCTAAAGTTTCAGCCTTCTGGCTTTTCTGGTTCTCGAGTTGAAAGTGGGAGGCAAAAAATGCGAACACACAGACAAACAGACACACACACACAGCATCTTTCCAATATGCGCTTTTGCAATTTACGTATATGCAAAAAAGCAAAAAAAACAAAAAATTCAAATTTTTGGAAAAAAGACAAATTTTCAGTTCACTAAAAGTGAAAGTGTTGCTAGAGCGATCGTTTGTAAAAAAAAATCCAAGTATGCAAATGAACCGAACATTCATTATGCGTTTTTGCACATATGCAAATGCGAAGACGCATACTGTGATGACCCCAGTGTGTGTATGTGTGTGTGTGTGAGTGTGTGTGTGTGCGTGTCTGTCCGGATATTTCAACTCAGTACTCAAGCAAGCTCCAGCGCGAAAGTTTTGCCATTGGGTTCCCCGACCAAGTACCGCTCAGGACCGCGAGGCCGTCCTTGACGTGTGTCTAAGCCCCGCTTACGAACCCCTCAAAGTTTGGCGGGAAAATCGCTAACTCGGGAGCCAGGAAAACCACATAGAGGAAAAACATTTCAAATTCAGCTTCCAGACATGCGTCGCTCTCACGTACAGCCCGTGAAGGCTCCTGGCGGGAAAATCGCTAACTTGGGATCCAGGAAAGCTACGAAGCTAAAATTTTAAGGGAATTTTCCCAGTTCATATACAACTAAAATTTATCAAATGCGGCTTCCAAGCATGCATGGTTCCCACACGCATCCCCGTGGAGTTTTTTGGCGGGAAAATGGCTAATTCCGTAACCAGGAAAGCTGGAGGCTGAAATTTTCAGGAAACGTTCCGAACTCATCTACAATTTGAAGATATTTAATTTAGCCTCTCTCTGTACGTGGTTCCCACGTATAGTCCCAGCAAATTTTCAGCGTTGCAGCTTATCCAGTAAAACAAAATATCCACTTCGCAACAGATATCTTTAAAGTGCCCTAAGTCATGGCGCAAGTGCAAACCAGCACTTTAGGTATACGACTTCTCATATGGGCGATAAACATACTGACAAAATTTCAGCCATGTTTTCTAGCATCTTTTAGAATTCGCAAAGTACCAAGTCGCAAAGTTTGACGTGGCCGCACACGTTGCACACGCGTGCGCGACAGCTGAGTTTGAAATCCTTAGCCCGCAAATGCACAGTGAATATTGCTGCAAAGTTTCAGCTTTGTACCTTGCCAAGTTCACAAAATCATTTCCCGCTAAAGAAATTTGCATATTTTTTCAAGGATCCGCACGGGAGGTCTAAGCAGTTTCGGAGGAAATCTTAGAACGGGAGGGTGATATACGGGGTAAGAACGCATATCCAAAATTTCAGTCTCCCAGCGTACCTCGCTGCTAAGACGAAAGTAGATGAAGTTCACTAGTTTCTGAGCACTCACACGCGCAGACAACCTCTCGACAATATTTGTTTTTGCTGGCTGTTGCAGCGCTGCACAGCAAGATTGTGGGGACATGAAGCTGCCGATATTGTATTCAAGCGCCAGAAACTTAGCTTCGTTTCTTTTTTTCCCTTGTCATTGCTGCAGACAGCTCGTACTTTGCATTACAGAGAATCCTTCGAGTGCTCTCTTGGTTGTAAAAATGCCGACAAGCTTGAAAATTTGTGTTTCGACAGTTTATCAAAATTTGAGAGTAGTTACAGGATGTGGCTGTACAGTAACCATATGATTTAGTACATTTAATACGGGAAATTATTTTTGGGCCTAAAAAAAGCAAGATTTTATTCAGCCCAAAGATCTTAATACAGCACAGTACTCCCTACAGTCCTCAAACGTCAATCGTTATAAAAACAAACATCGAATCCGTCTGGTCAGTCACGTCGTGCCACTAAAGTCACAATATTATTATGCACAGCGAATTCACTCGCTTTTGCTTCGCTTGTAACTGTAGTGAAGAAACGAAACTGCCGCAGCCTAGTTTGCTTCTCTCGGGATTTATAAGATCATTCTGAATTTGAAGAGCTTGAAGCTATGCGAAAGATAATTTTATCTACGCAGTTACTGCCACTTACACAAAGGCGCAGTATTTCTGCGTTATTTCATTGAGCAATCATGAAGTTTTTTCATCAGGTATGTGATGGTACGGTGCAGTGCAGCGATGGTTTGGATGAATCGCAGTGCAAGATGCGCGAATGCGCTCCACGACATAAGCAATGCGATAATGGTACTTGCATTCCGGAACATCGTTGGTGTGATAGTCGGAGTGATTACCCAAATGCTTCCGAAGAACTGCATTGCGAATGTCACGTATGTTCTTTGTTTACATAATTTTTGGAGGGATTTGTTCCAAGGAGGTCTGCTTTAAGGTGCATGCAAACTGCTTATATGAACTTCTTGACTTTTATGATTCTGAGAATGAGGGTTCATTAACAGCTCTGCTGCCGTGCCGCTGTGTTGTTCGTATCGTAGCAGTGCTACAAATAGCGTTACAGTTTTGTTCAGTCGTTTCTTCCGGAATATTTTTTGTTAGTGCTTTTTACAGCTTTTTGTAGCATTTTGGTTGTAATGAGGCATTTCTCAATTAAATTGTCTTCTTAATCGCTGATCAGTATTTTACTGCTCGAAACCCTTAGCGTCAGCAGCAAGAATATGCTGCACTGCTTTAACATTATCAGTTTTCTGGAATGAATGGCGATTAGTCATCAGCTAAAGGAGTCATCTTATATTATCCTTTCCCACCTTATATTTCGATGATTTAACCGGGTCAAATTGATATTTGCAGCCAAATCGCAAAGGGTGCAGTCCGTTCGAATTTGAATGCGGCAATTCAGTGAGTATCCCGCGTAAGTTTGTTTGCTATGGCGATAATGACTGCGGTGACAACTCGGATGAAACCAATGAACACTGCAAGAGTGCACTTTGCAACTCGCCGCTTCGCTTTCGATGCTCGCACTCCAGACTTTGTCTCAATATTCTACAGATCTGTCTTGTACACTCTGAAGAATCAACAAATTCTTAAATTTAAATCAAAGGAAGATTACTGTGCATTTCGCGTTGCAACAGTTGTAAGCAAAACGCTTATTGTCGGTTTCTGCGTGTATTCGGATGTTTCCGAAGTCTCCAACTTAGCAACCATGGCAGCCGGAAAATTAAAATTTTAGGAGAATTTTTACTGCCTATGTTCGGTCTAGCTAATCCTTAAATCAGCTGTCACGTAAGTCTACGCTTGTTGTACGAGCGCATGGGACTATTTACGTAAAATACCTCTGCCTTCGTGCAGCCGACAATTCAAATTCAGTTCCACGTACGTCTTGGGCCTCACTTACGGCCATATGAAAGTTTAACAGGAAAAACTGCTGTCTTGAGAGCCAAAAAAGCCAGGAAGCTGGAATTGTGGGAGAATGTTTCCTGTCTACAAGCGAACCCGCAAATTCAGATCCTGCTTTTACATACCCCTAGAACTCACACAGCGACAAGGGAAAAATTCCTTGGGAAAAGCATCAACTCGAGAATCACCAAGGTTAGAAAGTTCAAATTTATGGATGATATTCTACATTAGCGTTTAATTTAAATTTTTAAATTCAGCTCACCTTTACGTCTGGTCCTCGCGTACGATCACATGAAAGTCGCAAGAAAACCTTGCTAATTTAGGGACTGGACGAGCTAAAAGCCTGAGAATCCAGGATAATGTTTTTCGCCCACGCAATATTTCACATATTCGAATTTAGCTCACATACGGTTATATGAGAGTTTTGGCGCAAAAGTCACAAACTCTTTTGAAGCTCGAAAACTGGGGGGTTGAAGCGTTGGAAAAATGTTTACCGTCAATATGTAACACAAAGATTGAACTTTCACGTACGCTTACATTTCACTGGACTGGCAAGTGAAATTTCTAGTTGGAAATTTTACAGCTTAGATACCAGATAACATTTTGGCTTTTTTTTCATGCACCCAAATGCGAAACAGTGGAAATTCTTAACAGCTAAGCGCCTGTTGATCGAAACTGCGCAAAACGAGTAATCTGTGCTGCTGCACACTGCTATTTTTCACTGATTCAGTGAGCTAATAGTTACGCGAACGCTTTACTGCTCAGTTAATACCGCAATAACGCTTTTATTCATGTTTACTTTGGAGAATGCTTTAGATTTATGCATTAGTAAGACTAAGTATACACTGTTAGCGCAATGTTAATACAGTAGTAAAACGTCAAACAAAATACAGCATGCAGCGGCAGCTCGGTTCCTGACTTCATCACCTCAGTTAATCCTCACTTACAGCATGCCACGGTTTCCTATGTTTGTTGTCTTCAAACGACCGGTCATTCAAGGATAAACGGGGTTTCTTGTCTTATTTTGTTGCTGCCAAATTTCGGTGCAAAAGGACCAGGAAAGGAAGAGATTGCAGTTGTGCAACGGATTCAATGGTTGTGGGTAATCGTGAATTTCCGATACTTCACGCATAAGCGACTGTCTTTTCTTATGCAGTAGACAGAAAGAAATCTGTAATTTAGACGACTTCAAAAAAGGCGCTGGCTGAAGGGGAAGCAACAACTGAGGCAAGTCGAAACAGCAGAACATTGGAAAGTTAAGAACCAAAAAAGCACTTTGTTTGCTTCTTTTATCTGATCCAGGATTTTTAAGTTCCTTTAAATCACCAGCGCTATTTTTGTTTCTGGACTATCTCAGGGAGAGCACGCTATGAAGGGAAATTCTGCATTTTATTTGTTTTAGCGAAAAAAAATGGTGTTACATGTGAGACAAACAATGAAAATGGTGGCTGCAAGCATCTCTGTGCTGACGTTACCGACGGCTACTACTGCCATTGTCGGAATGGATTCCAACCGAATCCAGAAGACCCATATGACCGCATCGATATCGACGAATATGCTGGTAACAAAACTTGCATCCAGGTATTCCGCAATTTTTTTATGAAAGCATTTCACTTTGTTGAATGTTTGGGATTTATCAGAGAATTTTAGAATGAGAATCATCTTTTACTTTGCATTTGCATCGCTGATGCAAACTGTTTGAGCCATTAGGATTCCAGTTCCAGAAACATTGGGCACCAAAAAACTGTGTTCTAGTCATACACTTTTTTTCCACTTAGCTGGGAACGAAATTCCGATGGCTTCGATATGACGTCTTTTGTTTATAGTTATGAAAACCTAGAAGCAGCAGCAGACGAGAATGAAAGTGTCGAAAAGCATCGCATTTGAAATCAGATTTTTAGAGTTGTCTGAATACGAAGGACGGTATTTATGCCGATGTTTTGATGATTTTGAAAACAACGTGGTTGTTGGGGCAATAACAAGGAAAGATTGTCGTGCCAAAATTTTTATGCGTTTTTGCTGTGCAGCGCTATAGC